TTATTATTATTATTATTATTATGTTATTATTATTATTATCATTATTATTATTATCGTTATCATTATCATTATGATTGACATTGTTGTTTTTATCATTATTATTGTGAGCTGCTTAATTTCATTCAAATGTTAGTGTTGGTCAGCGACAGCTTATATGCTTGGCACGTGCACTGCTACGTAAGACGAAAATTTTAATACTGGATGAAGCAGCGGCTTCGGTCGATATGGAAACAGATCAATTAATACAAAAAACTATCAGGGAACAGTTCGCCAAGTGCACTGTTCTTACAATAGCACATCGTTTGAATACGGTTATTGATAGTGATAGGTTTGTTGAATTGTTTATTTGATTTATTGAGAGTTAATTTATAAGATGCAGATGTTTTCAGATTATTGGTACTTGATTCGGGTAGAGTGCGAGAATTTGATAGTCCGAAGAATTTATTAGGTGATCGACAATCTTTATTCTATTCAATGGCTCTGGAGGCTGGCATTGTTTCAGAGCATGAGCATTTGAAGGAACACTTGTTATGAATTAATTGAGTGTTTTATTTGTTGAGCATAACATTTTTTAGATACTGATATTGGTTTATTATTCTTTACGTTTTATTATGATTATTACTTTTATTATTATTATTATTCATTCCTATTAATTAATCATGAAATAATATGTTCTTTCCTGATTAGTTGCTTTATTGTTATCGTAGTCACTTTACCTCTATTAGTATTATCGTAAATTATTACTATTGTTGTTGAGCTCTGATGTTGTAAACTACTGATAATGAGTTACTTAGCGATAATATGATGAAGTGTATGTCAATGACAGTTGTAATGATAACGGTGGCAATAAGAAGAATAATAACAATGATAATTATTATTATAATTAAAATGGTAATAACAATAATAATGATAATAAACATTTTTCTGTGTGATTTTTAGTTTACGATTAGTTCAATGAATCCGGTTAGAAACCACTGATATCTGGTCCAATCTTAACACGATTGTGTGCCTATCGCTTTTGCTCAACGAAAATTATTTTTCAAACGTTATTATAAAATTAACTTTATTTTCTTGAATTATATTGGTCACCATCATTGCTGTTGTTATCATTATTAACGATACGTTACCGGTATTAACGATAGTGTTTTAAGTAAATTCAGCGATTGACTTAAACTTGTTAGAACGGTTGTAATTTGGATTGTTATTCGTAAACAATGTACGCATTCCTTTGAGAAAGTTTTAGTTTGCTGTAGTGAATGATATCTGTTGTTAGCAGTGGTGGATACGTATGTTGATAGAATTGTATTGTGGTCAATCAGTAGTTACAAGGACAGCATTTTTTCATGAAGTCGGTCAAGAGATGTTTATTTCATTGATTGGACGTATTGGGCAGGGCCATAAACTAGCTTTTTTCAGTAGCGTATCGAAAACAGAAAATTGTTTTGTGACTCGAATGCTTGTGAACATTTAAAAGATACTCCAACATAAACGGTGAAGACATGATTTGTCCAATAGTACGGTACTCTTATTATCCAGTAATTGATATATGCTATACGACATTTTTATTGTTGTGATCTATAAAAAATATTTATTCCTTTATGTGATCGTTCATTAGTTTATCTTTGAGAGAAAAAAATGGAAACAACCGAATTGTATCTCGTAGAGATGAAATGACTAAATGTATGTTTGTGAGTAAAAATAAATTAGCAGTACACAAACAAATAGTTGTTGTTGGTACTGAAAGAAACAACCAAACGAAAATTATAAAGCAGCCAACGAATTCGAAAAGAAACCGATTTTGAAGAAAGAATTGAATGAAATGAAATGAATATGAGAGTTGAGGAAGTTATGCAGTGATTTGTTGTTGTTGATTTTTAGTATTACTGTTATCGTCATCGGTCACATTCAACAACTGATGAATGTATTGATATTGTCCACCCTTTTTGAACTGTTGTACTGAATGACCGTCACCTCGCAAAACCCATTTTGTTGTTAATAAGCCCTCAACGCCAACCGGTCCTCGTGCATGGATACGACCCGTACTGATCCCCACTTCAGCTCCTGAAATTTGTTCATCTTTACACCAGTGTTGTGCTTATTCGATTCATCTTTGCCAAGTTTATGTCAGCCAAAATGTTTTCGCACAGAGCATTTCTAGTTTATTGATGACAATATTAACCCAAGCCAAATCTGTATCCATCCGCAAATCTTGTGCTTGCATTATGAAATACACATGCGCTGTCCACTTGTTGAAGGAAATGTTCGGCTGTTTCATCTGAATAGTTGATAATTATTCAAGTTGGTGGTATATTTCGATTCGCTAATGTTTATGAGAACTTACGATTAGAAGTGACAATACTATCGGTATGTGCACTACCATATCGAATAATGTGCTTAACGGCGTCCTTAACTGAGTCGACAACCTCGAGAGTGCATTCCATCCGGCCATATTCGTATTTTAACGAGTCAGCTGCTGGTGGAGAAAATTTAAGCGCTGACTGCAACTGGGAAGTTGGTTTTGTGGTTATTACGGTGATAACTGATAGTAATGTGGACAGTAATGATGAGCGGTAATGATAATTAAGAGCATTTGTGATTACCTGTAACTTAGGCCCAGCATGCAGTTTAACACCTTCAGTTTTAAGCATTCCACAAAGTTGATCAAAGAAGCGAGTACCCAAATGATCACGATGTATGAGAATCGTTTCAACCGCATTACAGGCCGACGGATAGTCACATTTTGAATCGCGCACAATTTCGATGGCCATCTGAAGTGTACGTATTATTATAGTAAAGTGGGCCACTGAGAGACTTCTTTTCAGTGGCCACTCACTGAACACCATATGATTAGCCACCGAATT